ATTCCATTCCAGTTACAGCATGGAAAACAAAGTTTTGCACAGGTTGTTGTTTAGGTGAGCAGGTCCTGCAGTATTAAGGCAAACAAAGGAGAGTATCAACCCTTTTGATGAGCGTGTATGTCATTCTGTCACCACCAGCACAGAGAGACTGAGATCAAATTTGACAGCCAAAGGCTTGAGCTGCACACAGGATAACAGGCTTTACTGTATGTGTGTGTGAGACGGGGTGAGTGTGTGTGTCTTTATTGGTTGTATGTGTGAGGTTTCGGGTGGGGGCAAGAGCACGATCTCACCTTACCATTGCCTGTCACTGGCAACAGATGTTCACACGTTATTTTACCCACAAGCCACACTGTGTGGTTTGTGTCTGTGGGTGAATTTGCACGGCCTCTTTTGTGAGCACTGAGTTGTAGACATTTTGGAAAAGTAAAGTCATTTTAGTTGACACTATTTCAAAGAGCTTTGAGAGTTTGAGGTTAAGACTTGGGGTTTAATTTCAGACCTAAGTTTAGGATTAGGATTATGGTTGAGGATAAGTGTGTTGTTTGCAATTATTACAACATTGTAAGTGGAGAGGGAAGGTCAAACATGTCTGCCTCACAAAGTTAGCCAGACATGTTTGCATGCATATAGGAAACAACTGCACCTAAATACATGAACTCAAAATAAATCCATCTCCCTCACACAACACCAGTGTTGTCGAAGGGTCATGTCATCATCTGCTCATTCTGTGTGACCCTAATTTAACAGCCTTTGTGCTCACCTTAGGAGAGATGGAAAAAGGAAAAACATCTTTTTCCACTGACTGCAGTAATGAAGGTACACGTTATAGGCAGAGGAAATTTGCCTCTCGGTCTATAGTCTTCAGCTCTGCATTCAAATCTCCCATCTCATCCATCACACTCCAACAATAGAGATGTCCCGCACTCCCCAGACAGCTGCTCAGCCTTAGTCCCATGAAGATGTTTTTATATGTGTGCGCCTGGGGAGCTGTATGTTTGTGCTTTGAATAAGTTTGTCTGTGTGTATAATGTGCATCAGTTTTGACAAAAGGGTTTTGTTTTAATTGTGAAACTCATCCTATGTTTAAACAAATTAGGGTTTCACAGACATCTTACCGGCTGCCTGACTATTATGCTGCATTAAACAGCCTTCTTTTATCAACGCTGATTATTTCTTTGTTAACGGTGACATGTCATCTCTTCGGTAATATGCTGAGGTAACTTTTTTTAATTAGAAAGCAAAAATTAGATGTGTGGTCTGCATAATGATCAGAAGTAATTAGGACACAGGAATGATAAAACTCTACATGTTTGTTAACAATCACAAAGGGTGGTGGAGTATGATAGTCAGATTAGCATTTATTGAAATGCTTCCTGGCAACACTGGCTGTCTAACCACAGGCAGGGCCGCCTGTGTTCATCCATGTGTGTGAGTCCACCTTGCTCTCATGTCCATCCCACGCTGGCACCACCATCTGCTACCCGTCGAAGTTCTGTCCGGCCCCAGCAAGGCTCCTCGCGCACACACACAGCTCCCTGTGTCCAGCTTGTGGTCAGACAGCCATGTGGCATTGAACCAAATGACCAACGGTTTGTGCACGCATGCTGTGACCTTCACTATATGGTCCACAAACACCAAGTCCCTCTCAATCTTTCCCCTCTTTTTTGAGGTGCACATAGGCTCGATTAAAGCACTGAAAGAGAGTGTCTCTCTGTCTGTCCTTCCGTCTGTTTCTCTCTGTGCCATTTGGCCCAGTTTGCTGCCTTGGATTGAGAACATAGGAGCTCATCTTCACTACCAGCAATTCATATGTGTGTCTGTGTGTGCCTGTGTGTTTAGAAGACAACTAAAGAACTCCTTAGAGGGGTGTCAGATGGCAGGCGTTTGTGGTGATGTGTTGGGGGGCGTGGGGGAGGTGGAGAGATGATGGGGGCGGATGAAGGAAAGGATAGACGGAAACACAAGGAGGCAAAGACTGCTGCGTTCTCTGCTCTTCAGCTTTTGTTCTCCCAGATAATAACTCTCCACCCCCTGACTCCAAAAACCAAGGGAACCCCTCCAGTCTGGAAACATGAGTAGTGTTCAAGGATGCCGTGACAACTAGTTATTCCAACCTACATCAAGGTGTGTTATAAAACCGACTTCAGCGGCTTGAATTTTGAAATGTCTTGAAGATTTACACAAGCTTGTAAGATGATTCACTGCGAATTATCTGCAGTTGGAACTGCAACCGAGGCAGATTTATCACAGTCAATTATAAATGCCCTACGTTGCCCTAAAAAACCCAACATGCTTTTAATTCAGGCCAAAACTGAGTGGGGGGAAAACACAGAGGTACATTATTGCCAACAGCCTGGAGGCCAATCTGCCAGTAGCTGTGAAGAAAACTGAAAATTACAGATTTTTTTTTTTAACAGATTACGACTTATGACCACATTCAGACAGGTGTGCTCAGGTAAAAGTGGTAATACAGATCTTTGCACAAGAAGAAGATGTAAGGCAAAGCACATGTTGACAGGATGGGAAAATCTGACAGGAAATCAAAAGGCACTGAATGTTACAGTGAAAACAGATTTCTGTTTGCTATGACCCGGTTGAGTACAGCAGCATCTGCAACCCACATAAGATCTAAAAATACTCCCGCACCATTGACTGCTACTATGCTGTGGCCTAGGTAGGTAGATGAATAACAGCGTGTGTATGGTGCGCGTGTATTGTGTGTGCATGTGTTAAAGGAATAAAGGTTTGGCTGTACATGCTGAGGTTTGCTGCAGCCTCGTTTAGAAGTCTCAAGCAGAAATACCGTATTTAATGCATAGCATATTGCAAATATGTTGTGCGTTGTTGTGCATGTGGCAGAAGCACCTGTGGGCTACACTAGGCACCAATTACTGTAAATCAAATGCACTCATGCATTGCTGTAAATAGCTATCTGTGGCCCTGTTAGGATTTCATGTGCTCATGGATGTGGATAAAGCCAAGTTACTCAAACGACAGCCATGGAAATTCTTCTGCTGTGCAGATGTGTAACAGATGTATCTCATATCTCATATTGAGCCAACACTGCAAAAGAAAGCTAAAAAAAAACCCTAAAATATTTGTCTGTAGTATGTTTCAGCTGTTGGTTATGTGACTGATTTATTCAGGGAGTTTAATTAAACTTAGTGTCTCTTTATCCTTTCTTCCACCCAACACCCCAACCCTAAGCCTGGTTCTGATTCAGCTTTCTTCCTGTTAAAAGGGAGTTTTTCCTTACCATTGTTGCCTTATGCATGCTCAGTGGGGGTCGTCTGGTTGTTGGGGTTTTCTCTGCATGTTTGTTGCTGTATTTTCTTTACAATATAAAGCTGTTGTTATGATTTGGCGCTACATAAATAAAATTGAATCTATTTGAATTGAGTTGGATTAGACTGTTACGAGAGGTTGTACCTTTTGCCAGACTGCTTCCCTTCTCTCTCTCCTCTCCTGCACCTGCCTCTCTTCCGTGAACCGCTGTCGGCTGCACCGTTTGCTGCACAGGTGCGAATGGAGCAGCAGCTCCAGGAGCTCCGCCAATTAGGAGCACCGAACGGGGCCACGTGAACAAATCCCGTCGTCTAAATTCCCGTTCAGCGGCGGGCAGCTCTGAGTGAGCGGCAGCCCTGAAAGCCACACTGAGTGGGGAAGTAATAACGGCAGGCTGAACGGGAGCAGTGTGCAGGTAAATTGCTTTTTGTCCTGGCTTTACACTCCCCCCTCACTCCCTCCATCTCCCCTCACAAGCTCCGCATGAAGCAATTCAGATGCGCGGCTCTGGGACGGGTTGTCTTGGATTCATTTGTTGTCGCTTGCGGGTTGACTCTCTGCTCTCCTCCGATCAGATGCGCGGACAGGACAAACAGCATCCTCGGTTGCCCTGCACCGTCTACGCATTGAAACTCTGCCCCCCCCCTCCCTTCCTCCTCCTGCTCCTCTTTTTCCCCTCTCCCCCTTGTCTCTTCCAGGCACATGAGGCTATTGATAGTTGACAGCAGCCTCGTAATCCCAGGCTGATCTGGCTGATCTTCCACAGCCATTTGCGAAACAAGAATGTTGATTGAACTTTATTTTGCTTCTAGATTTATTTTAGCTTAATTGGTAACGCCCGCATAGACTGACGCTGTGGCACCGGGGAGCGTGAGAGGCTTTTTGGTGCTGCATGCAGCCAGGCAGAGGCATAAGCTTTTATTGCTGAATTATTTATAAGACTGTCTGGGGGGAGAGAGAGAGTAGCTAATGCCTCTCGTGGATGGAGAGGGAGCCCTGGAGAAGATAGGCTACAGCTCCTCATATGCTTTTTAAATCAGTTTCTTTGCTCAGTTTTTTTGACTCTGTTGTTTTGGTAGTAAAGTCGTATTTAGTGCTTTCAACTACAAAAAGAAATCACTAAACAAGCACTCGTACTTTTTCTTTCATGCTGACTTGTTTACTCAGCATCTTACATCTGATTTTCTGTTTTATTTAAAATTGATTGTGTTAATGGACACAATCGACTTTTCTTTTTTACAAGCCTCAGATTAGATATCACATATATTAGATTAAGTAAATATAAATTAATCTGCGGTGAATTCTTGCCTAACCTCTCAAAGTAATGTCATTAGCTGCACAGGCTATACATTAATGAAAAAGCTCAGTTAGAAGCTCGTATCTTGTCTTTTTCTCTTTGTGTGTGTATATGTATATATAGGCTATGTGTGTCTGCATATGGGTTGAGGAATAGGTTTATCGCCATATATCAGCGGCTGTTTACGCTGTCACGTATTTTTTCCCCTCTAAAATCCCTTCCTGGTACGGAGAGCTAGTAGTAGGCTATAGATTACATACATGCGGCACTTCTGCACTTGCCTTCTTCACAGCCCGACTCCAGCGGAATGAGTCGACCCCCCCTCGTCCGCGCCTGCGCACTCCCGCCATTCATCTCCGGAGATTTCTCCCTCTCTTTGGCTCCGCTCTCGTGTCTTGCGAGGCGGGATAGACCAGCAGGCGGCTCCGGGCTCGCGCTCGCTCGCTGCCCAGGTTGTCAAGGCGCTCGTGATTTTTTTTTTTTATTCTCTTCGTCGCGAGTGGACGGTGACAGCTCAGCTCGTCTCGCTCACGTGTTGGACTGAGCTTTGTTTATCGGGTTTATTTTGTCTTTGCTCGGATATATATTTTTGTGGGGGTTTTTGAGTCATTGACGGACTCCCAGCAGCCCATTTGCCAACCTCGTAAGTATTTTCTTGATGTTTTCTGACGCCTATCTACGGCGCGCCGTCCAGGCAGAGTTGAGAATCTAGTAGCAGGAGTTTGAACAATTTATCTCTCCCTGTCGGTTGGTTGTGGTTAAGTTAACTGGCATTAAATAATTTATTTTTTTCTTTTTATTTTGCTTTCGCTTTTCCTTGTCAAAAAGCAAGAAGAGGAACTAAGTACACGATAAACTTTATTAATGTTACTGTTACTGAGCGTGTTACGTTTTCAGTAAGACATGTTTGAGTCTCAAAAATTAACTGTTCTTTGAAGAATAAGACAATGAAGCCAGATGGTGTCGGTCGACTGTAGTTCATCTTTTATAGCAGGTGTCTGATAGCCCACTTCCGCACTTGACTGTAAGATATGTAGGCTATATCGTTGGCACAAAGGTCTCAATTGTTCAGCTGTAGTATTTTATCAAACCCTTCTTCTGCGGTTTTTGGGGTAAGTCTTCCTGAAGTGTTAAATGCATTTTTTAAAAAATTGCTATGTTATTTAACTACTTCCTTTTTTTAAAATGCACCTTTAGCCTTCACGGGGCATAGTTTTAGGGAACCAAAAGTAAGTGATTAAAGTTTCATCACTGAGGTTAACTGGCTACTTCCTTACATACATATACCTCCTGTTTTGTGTGTATATGTGTCCTATTACGCGAGTGTGTCTATACGTGTGCGTGCATGCCCGTCATCGAGCGAGTGACAGAGAGGAAGAAAATGCTGAACTGCTCTCCCGTCTTGCTGAACCAGCTTGTTGGCATACCAAAAAAAACAACAACAAAAAACCCCACGCATTAAACCGTAAACGTGCGCCTCGTTTCCCGGTTTTGGAACAACTCGAAAGACCACAGCAGGCGTGTCAGCTTGTCAGCGTTCAAAGGTCTTCACACCTACCAGCATGCAGTACCACGCAGAACTTTCTGACTTGTTTCTTCTGGTGCTGCAATATTTCTCCTCTTGTTAATTTTTTTTCGTTATGTGCAGATAGTTTGTTTCTCTTTTTATTGACTGGTGAATTGAGCTGCTTTTGCTCTCTGCTATGCTCGAGTGCTTCTCATTTGTCTTATCGTTTCTTTGTGTCTGGTGGTCCTCATGCTTGACTAATGGCCTGTTGCCTTGAGGTTATTTTTATTTTCTCCACCCTTCTCCAACCTGCTTTCGTGTGCAGGAAGTGCCCCTTGCTGACACACTCAGCCACACCTGTCCTGGTTATGTGGAAATGTGGGGTGCCTTTGTTGCCTCTCTCGCCTAAATGGAGTTGATTTATTGAGAGGGAACACAGGCTTCTTTAGTCCTTACTTGTTACAGCCGTATAATGCTCGTCTTGTACTGCACACAGTAGACTTTGTGAATGTGTTGGAGAGAGGGGGAGACAGGATTATTACATCCTTACTTCTTTATTTGTGTGGTCATACACGGCTATTTACTGCAGTGGACAAATATCTGCCTGCAGCCCTACAAAGTGAGCATTACATAGGTTAGGCTGAAAAAGTGTGCGTATGCTTGTGTCTGTGTGTGTGTCTGTGTGTGTGTGTGTGCGCGCGCGCTCCAGGCCCCTCCAGCACTTTCACGGACTCGTTCGCCCAAGCATTGACTTGGCAGTGAACTCTGAGTATTGACAAGATAAAAGGATGAGAAGGAGGGAAAGAGTGAGCTGTTGTTGTATGATCACCCTGCACAGTCTGTCTTTGTTTCCTCCTCCTTCTTTTAAGCATTGTTTTCCCTTGCTGTTCCTTTTTTGATATTCCAGATTTCCCTGATTTCCCTTTTCTTCATAATTCCCCCTAGACATCTCAGACTTTTTTTAAAGCATTTTTTTGTGTTTTTTTTTTTTCAAAGATGAAACAGGCATAGATGTTTCAACTTTGAATCTAGACATATATATATGTATATATATATATGAATATATTTAGCCCAGGTGACATTATGGCCCTAAAATGGAAATTTCCACTATACTATCGCTATTGATATGCCTATATTTCACATTCCTGAGACATAAACCCCATGTTTTTTTTATTTAAAGTAGGGCGTTTTACCATTTAGCCCTTGGTGTTTGATTTCCCTAGAATCTGGAAGGCGATTGAAGCGCACCCAGTGGATTTGGATTGCTTCAATGGATTTGAAAATGGATTTAATTTCCACTAATGGAACTTACTTGGGACCAGATACCCAGATTAAGGACACATAGAGAACTGGCAACACTAGTAGATAGACTGAGCACGCATAGCAAAGACAAATAGAGACACAGCAGAGTGACAATTTAATATCAGCCATAAACCATAAAATAGTGGTTTTTGACAGGTTCTTTTTTCTAAATATATTCCACACTGTCAAAGACCATTTTGTTTTTTTTCCAACATCCACACTAAGTTTTACTTTTGTAACGCAAAATCATAAATTGACATCCCTATAGAGCTTCTGAGGTTGTCACAAGAGAAATTGTTATATTTACAGAGATAAAGAGAAATTCCAGGTTGAAGAGTATTTTAAAGATTGCAGTTTTTAACGTTTGTTTTTTGAATTTTTATATGAACTGAAGCTAGATCCTCAGAGATCTCCACATAGTCAGCAATTGAGATGTCTTGAGTGGACCAATCTGTGAATCATTTTCCACTACTTTTTTTCTTCATTGTCAGATACATTAAATGATGATGATTTCATCAAAAATCAATTCATTCATTCATTCATCCAAAAAGCAATCAAACCAAAATCAAAATTACTGAACAAAGTAAAAGTGCATTAAATTAAAATATGAATGATCATAAATGCTACTGATATCAGGTTCTACTGACCTGTGTGCCTGTCATTATCAAATAAACAACTAGAACCCTAAGGACTGGAGCCCTTAGATGATACCATTTGGTATGAGCGGTTATACTGTACATGTTGTTTATGTAGGATTTTTTTTAAGTTAATTATCATTTTAGACCTTGCTTTCTTGTGTTTAATCACAACATTTTGACTTTCTGAACTTGTTAAAGATTCATATTATATCGCCGATATAGCAAAAAAATCTACTTTTCTAAAATGAAATACTAATTTTTGTGATTTTTCATTCAAATGTCAGAGGCAAAAGCTTATCTTTTATCTAATTCCTTCAGTTTGTGTTGTTGTTAGGTCAGCGTTGTATGAATGACAGTGTATGGCCTTCTCATTAAGAAGTCCATACGAACAGAATCAACCTTTTAGGATTTACTTACCTGGATGATTGAGCATACATCAAGACACTTACTAAGTAGTGTTGGCAGTATTACTGTCAATACTGACAAACTTATATGACAACATATTTTAACCAGGTTGTTTGAGAGAGTTTTGAAGGCAAGAAGAGCCATTTGCCTGAGATGTAGGTTTATTGGCTTTATCATATTGTAGCTTGTCTGTTCCTTGTGTATTCACTCCACTTACCTGATTCCTGTCACCTCTAAATGTGTCCCTCGGTTCAGCTCTCTTTCTTCTGCATCTGTTTTATGTACGCCTGGGAATGGCATCATGGTCCTTCAGCAGCTTGGGCTCTGGTTTGCTTTATGTTATGTGCTCAGCTTAAACAGTTTGGAATCTCAGTAACACTCACTCAGTAATAAGAGGAGACACAGCAATGTCACGGGACGTCTCCCTCTCCTGCTGCTACCTCTGCAGCATTTGAGTGTGTTCTGGTGCCCACTGCCTATCAGTGAAACAGGAGTCTTTCCACCAGTTCTCAGATTCTAGCATACAGCAGCACATTTAGAGTCTCATCTGGCAAGGAAATGTAGCTTTAATTCAATTGGCCAGAGCTTTAGTAAAAGCTTTCCTAATTGGCTGATATGGAAGCTGGCTGCCAAGGTTCCAGTAAGCACAACAGGGAGTTGAGGACAGTCCCAGAGGTGCTGTAGTGCAGGTGAGACTGTGCAAAGGGCAGATAACACGAGAGTGTGCTACTGTTTTGAATATTCCTCCATACACAATAATAAAGAACCTGCTAACTCAGATCCATCCGCCTGACCATATCTCATTTTCAGCTGTGTCGTGTGCCACACATATGCAAATGTACACATGCAAACACACGCTCCCCCCCATGTGCATTAACAAGAAAGGCTTTTGTCTCTTCCCCACTTAGTAAAGGAACAAAATCATCAATGCAAGAATATTGTCTCTGCGTGTGTTATATAAAAAGTGTGCAGACAGAAAAGAGACACAAAAAAATGCTACTGCCAACAGCCACATCAGCCATTCCTGCTTCCTTCACCTCAGGAATCCAGGAATAGTTCTGGGTGACAGAGACACCGGATACGAGATACGGAGACAAAGAGAGAAAATACACAGAGGCGGAGAGAGAACCAGGAAAAACAGAAACAGTGTGCAAGAGATGGCCATGTAAGGTTTACTGCACCATAGCTTGCATCACTGCACAGAGACACTGAAGCTGAAATTAGTGTTTCAGAGGATGGGATTTCAAGTTACTGTTAACATGAACTTTGTTTTATTTTATTTATTTTTTTTTTTTTTTGGGGGGGGGGGTACGTGGCTGCTTTATAACAACGCAAAGACAGCCTTCATTATATGATTCATAGAAATAACAGTGAGTCTATCTAAAAAATGGCCTGTTGTGGTTACATTCTGATTTTAGTCAAGTGCATATTAACACTGAATTAATTATTTGCAGTGGCATTTCCAAGAAGAGTTAGATTGTTTGAATCCATATATTGTAAACCACTTAGTGTGGCATTTACACAACCCTTGTTCTACAAATTGAGATAAAGCCCAGATAAGTGTTGGGAAAGTATTAACTATTTCCTTCAGAAAATGTTCATCCATATAATCTTAAATCTTAATTATTGTGATAACCTTTTATCAATTCAATTTATCAATTCCCACCAATATATAGCCATTCCTTTAATTTGTTCCCTCCTAGATTGTCAAAGCATTGTGTCAAGCTTACTAGCATTTTCTTGTGTCTTTGTCTTTTTTTTGGTATGATCTCTTGCCAGATGTTTGATCAC